CTCCAATACCCCTTAGTTAAGGAATGTACCTTATAGATCACTTTAGGGATCCTACTATAAGTTAAGGTATATCCTTTAAGTAAGGGGTCTTGGAGTCTCTGGGTTGTGTTGCGTTCAAGGCTGAAGGGCGCTAGGGCGCCTGAGAGGATGTGAGCCTTTGTATATTGGGTTTCTGGGTTTAGGGTTTAGGGTTTAGGGTTTAGGGGAATGTTAGTTTCGTCTTCTAGGTTCCTGAGTGACCCCTTAATAATCAGGGTACCCTTTTTCCCGTTATTCAGTTTCAATAAGGGAACCCTACAATAAAAAGGGCAAAAGGGTACTACTCAGGAACCTAGTCTTCAGGACGATGCGTTTCAGAGCTCCGCCTGTTCGCAGGGCCTCAAATTTTGGATACTTGCACTTTCGGGTGTGCAGACACAGCAGAGCGCTGCCGCTCGACCTCGCCAGTCTTCACTAATGTAAGGGCCTTAGTCATTACGCAATTAGAATAGGGTTTCGGGGTAGATTATACTATAACTACAATAAAGAAACCACCAACATAGTATATAATTATTCAGGCCCCTACATTATGTCATTGTACCGATGACACGGGAACCAGCGAAGGATGCTTGCACGCTCTGCTCTAGATCCCGTAAACCCTAAACCCCGAAACCCTAAACCACTAAACCCTAAACGCTAAACCCTAAACCCCTAAACCCCTAAGCCCTAAGCCCTAAACCCTATACCCCCAATTCCCGAAGTGCCTAGGCCCTGAAGCCTTCGGGCTCGGGTAGACATGGGAAATTCAAAGCTTCGGCAGCTCTTTCTGCCCTCTTTTCTCTCTGTCTCTCTCCCTCTGCGACGGCCTGGCGGACAAGAAGCCAAGCTGCATAGGCCCCATTCCCACAGCTGACCTGCAGAGAGCGCCTTGGTTGGGTCAGTTCAATGGCTTCTGGGTGTTTGGGTTTAGGGTTTAGGGTTTAGGGTTTAGGGTTTAGGGATGAGGGTTTAGGTGTAGGATGTGGGGTGAAGGTGGGGTGGAGGTTGCCACAAAAGCATGAGGCTCAGGGTACATGACTTGAGAAGGCCCATGCATGTCAGTGTCTAGCAAGTACTGACAGCATGCGCCCGCCTTCATCATGGCTCCCACAGTCACTGCTGTACCAGTGCCCCAGCGCCAGAGCGTCCACAGCACGTGGCGCCAGTCGTCGTGGCTGGCGCCTGCCACAATGCAGCACCTTATTCAACACAACAAGGTTGGAGCCTGAAGCCCAAAACATCATCTACCCTGCCTGCAGCCTGAAGACGCTGTTGCCAGCTTGAGGCTAGACTGAGAAACAGCCCTGCATCTGAACCGGAAACCTCGAACCCCCAAACCCTACCATCCGAGGAGCCCATGATGCACAACCCATGACTCTGACACCCCCTAGTCTCTGCCCCCGGAAGTTCTTCGCCGTCCGCATCACCAGCTCCAGACTTCCCCGGAATTACCCAGAGAGCCCAATACCCCTTAACTAAGGAATACAGCTTAAATCATAACATGGAGCCCCTTAAATTATTATAGTTTAAGGTATATTCCTTCATCAAGGAATATAGCTTAAATCATATAACATGGAGCCCCTTATAATTGAAGGTACATTCCTTAACTAAGGGGTGTTGAGCTCTCTGGGTAATTGAACTCGAAAGCCATAACCCTAGCAACCCGTGAGCCGATGATCAACTGAATCTTCTGCAGTCGAAGTTTAGGGTTTAGGATTTAGGATTTGTCTGTAGGGTTTATGGTTTAGGGTTTAAGGGTTTAGGGTTGAAGGGTTTAGGGTTGAAGGGTTCAGGGTTTAAGGGTTAGGGGTTTAGGGTTTAGGATTGTCTTCAGGGTCTAGCTAATTTAAACCGAGCCGCAAACCATTAAACAGACCGCAGCTAGACTGAGTCCGCAAGCTTAAACCTTCCACACCAGGCGCAACAAACTTGTCTGTAGTTTCGAGCCCTCAAAACCGGAGGCCACATTGTCAAGAAAGGGAGGGGGTGTGACAAACGCGGCCCTTGACCGCAAACCCTTCATACAGAAGGCTGAAGACATGGACTGGGCTTATAAAGGGATTTCAAAAAACTAAAACTATGCTTGGCAACCTCGATACATAGACTATTTCTGAGTATCCGGATCTCAGAACCCTAAGCCTAAACCTAACCACAGAACCCCTTTAAATTCCATAACAAAGGAGCGGTAAAATCCTGTCCTGTTATCATGGAAGGGACTACAATAAAGCAATACCAACAAAGTAGTACTCCGACCCCTGAAATTATATAGGGGCCTTCATAATTAGAATAGGGTTTGGGGGTATACTATACTACAATTACAATAAGGAACCCCCAAAACCCTATTCTAATTACAAAGGCCCCTACACTACTCCTCTCAACCTGAAGCTCGCACACCCTGGGCGCTCCTATGGCATTGTTTACCGTCCACACGTCGGGCTCCAGTGAGTTCAGAAGAAGGCCGTCCTGAGCATGGCTTAGGGTTTAGGGTTTAGGGTTTAGGGTTCAGAAGAAGGCCGTCCTGAGCATGGCATGGTGTTGGGCGGCAAATGTAGGGGCCTTAATGATTAGAACAAGGCTGTGGGGGTTCCTTATTATAAGTATAGTATGATATACCCCGAACCCTATTCAAATTATTAAGGCCCCTATAGCAGGGCTACAACACAGAGGGCTCAGTGGTTTTGTTTCGGGCCTGGGTGCTCCCTAGAGATCAGGGGTTTTTTAAGGCATCGAAGAGTTTTCGGTTTGGGAGGGGTTTGGGTCCACAGCTTTCGGGTGGTGTATTTTTTAATGGCATGCGTCGCCTGCCGAACAAGTTCTACAAGTGCAGTACTAAGTACGATCAATTCGGGTTCCTACTTTCCTTATAGTAATGCGTACCGCCAAACTCTATTCTAAGTATTAAGGCCCCTACATGTTTATACGTGCGTATGTGTGTATATATATATATAATATGCGCATGTGCACATTACCAACCGCATGGGACAATGGATAATGGAGCCTTTCTGATCCGCACACGAGCCTATGAAACCCGTCGTATAGATGTGGCTGAGCAGTCCCTCTATGCCGGCATGTCGCGACGTTGCACGACAGTTTAGTCGCTTTTGGACTTCAGACTCTCAACCCTAAACCCTCAACCTTAACCCCACAACCCTAAACGCCTATAAAACCCCTAAACCCCATATATAAAAACCCTAGTTTCTGCCTCTCCCATACTCGCACAAAAGAATAAACCACAGCCCACGTCGGCCGATGCGGTGCCCACACCACTCCAAGGAAGCCCTCAGGAGGGCTTGCGCCTTGAAACCCTACTGTCGATCAGATAAATCCTGCATTACCTCAAGGACCCTAAACTATGGGAAGTATGGCCTGTTCCTTATTATGGGCAATGCAGGATTTATATCATCAACCGTAGAACGGAAAACGTATGCTACCGTGTACACTTATGCTTATACCGTAACATATCAGAACATACCCAACATAATGTAATGTGCTATCATGAACCATAGTGTACTGTAGTATACTATACCCAAAGACCCCGAGAACCCCAACGAATGGAGCTCGGAGCCCTCGCCACTTGGAGCGCCTAAACCCTAAACCCTAAACCCTAGCCAGGGGGCCCAAAGTGCGCGAGCAGTCTTTGCGTGAGGCCCCTGCCAGCTTGCCGTGCTTAGTATACCATATGGCATTTATTACGGTACAGGAAACATGTAATAAGTTTTGGTATATGGTATTTTAGCAGTTTTAAATCGCATTTCCTCGTGCCATAGTATAATAATGATGTCGGCCGTGCACGCTTCGTAGGGTTTTGTGCTTCGCGGCTTTCGGGTTTTCGGGCCTAGCATGAAGGCCGAGGGTTTCAGACCATGACTGTCTCTTCCACTGCCTCTGTCAGCGAGATTCACGGTTCGGGTTTGGGGGTTACTTAAAGGATCATGGGACGTAGTAAGTAGGGTTTAAGGTAACTATACTTATCACCCCAATTAGGGGACTTATAACCCTACTTACTAAGTCCCATGATCCTAAGCAGGGTTTGCCAGAGTGTGGTTGAGCGTATAGACTTTGCGAACACTTGCAACTGCGTCCGTGGGCATGTGCACGGTTGTGTGCAGTCTAAAGTTTAAACACTCGCTTGTAGCCTGCATGCAATCAACCAACCGATATGTGTATGAAATTATGCACGCACGCATGCGAACATGTCTAACACACATGTGGCATGCAGATACACATAAGATTAGATATGCACTTGAGCACCATCATATTTATGTAGTGCGAAGGGCAAACGAAAGCATGAGGGGATAGAGAGGGAGGGAGAGAAAGAGAGAGAGAGAGAGAGGTCAAAAGCGAGCGAGAGAGCTAGCGGCTCGTCTCGTTAGGATGGCAGGTTGCTTAGAAGATGCATATACATAAACAAGCTTAAGGAACACGAACTCTCACACCACGCGGCAGACGAAGGTTACTGTAGCTGAACCCCAATCAAACTCCATGGAGCGTAAAACCCTCAACCTCCCGAAGGGTCCAATGTACCTACATAGTAGAATGTAGGGTTTCTATATTAGGAATTACCATTATGATTTAGGGAAGTATCCCCCATAACAGTACGTAGGACCCTTTGGGACCTGACATTCCTGGTTCTACGGCCATTGACTGCGCTGTCTGAGCCCCAGCTCTTGAATCACGAACTGGGGATTTCCGAAAATAGGAGACCCTAATATAGTACCCCAAATAATAGGATCCTTACTATAAGGACCCCATAATAAGGTACCCCTAATTTTCGGAAACTCCCAACTGATTGCACCTACCTCCCTCGAACCCTCGACACTCAAAACGACCCAGGCCGGAATACGCTCAATCCCCAGACATATGGGACTTTCCGAAAATTAGGGGTACCTTATTTTGGGGTCCTTATAATAAGGATCCTATTATTTAGGGTACTATATTAGGGTCCCCTATTTTCGGAAACCCCCATACAGCCCCAGCCCTGTACACAGTTTACATAAACATCCCTTTAACATCAGCCCTCACGCAGGACTTCAAGTATGACCCCCGAAGTCTCTCGTCTCCAAAGCCCCCTAAACCACCAACACCCCAACACCCCTAAACCCTAAACCCTAAACCCTCAACCCCTAAACCCCTAAACACTCTCGGGCTCTCGCTCCCGCCTCACAGGCCTTGAGGACAGTGTTGTAAGTCACGACCTGACGAGGCGTGTTTGTCGACTGCAGGGCTGCTCTTGAAGGGGCTGATGAAGCTCAGGGTTTAGGGTTAGGGGCACTAGAAGGCTCCTATGTGGGAAATTAGAGCTCTAGAAGTGCCGCCGTGACAAGGAAAATAAGCAACCAGGACTTTTGCTGCCATTTGGAAATCAGCGCACTGCAAAATCTAGACGCAGCTTCCCGTCAAGCCTCAGCCTCAAACCCTGGGATCGTCAATGCTTGAACCCCAGAACCCTAAACTTTAAACCCTAATCTCTACAAGCACTACCCCTCAAACTCCTTCGGCTCTTCGTGTCTTCATGGAACAATCCAAAGGAGTTCGATCGAAAGCTTCTTGTGCCTTCAGAGGGAAACGACTGGCTACGGCAGCTTCACTCATAGCAAGAACAAGCACAGGAAGAAGCGGAGCCACCATGGTTGCCGTTGTCGTCTTTATCGTCGTTGTTGTTCTCGCCGTCGTGGTGATGATGGCAATGTTTGTGGCGGTGGTGGTGGTGCTGGTGGTACTGTAGTTTCTGTACTTGTGGCAATTGCAAACTAATCGTAACCATATTTAAAACAGTAATAGTCGCAGCAGACGATGACTGAGTAGTGGCTAGAGCATGCTACACGACGATCAGAAAAGATCACAAACAGTGACAATTGATCCCGCAGTTTCGCCGGAATCATAGTAGAAAACCTTGCTACGCTCATCGAACGTGCCCATGCCTTGTGTGGACTTTGGGGGTTGTCCTTAAAGAAGCGATATTGGGAGGTGGCAAGATCCCAGTACTGAACATACCTAAACATGGCATGGTATAAAAAGGCTAAGACTACCAATAAAAACAGTAATAGCAAGAACAATAATGATACTGCTCATATTCGTACACAGTACATAGATAACGGAAGCATTCAGTATAATTATAACACTAATATCAAGAAACAATACAATAATAGTAATCATACTCAGAATAATAATAACAAAAGAGAAGAAGAGTAACACTTCTGGTCAACAATAATACTATAATTATCTACAGTAGCAGTAGCACGTCAACTGCATTGTTTTTTCGAGGCGGTTTGTGATGGAAACCGCAAGGTTTGGAAACTAACCGCCTAGGTTTGCAAATTCACGTTTCGGAGCCCCCATTATGCCTCATGACCCGAACAAAGCAATACCTCATCTGACGATATTAAGCGATGTCACGAATGTTCTCTTTCAGAAATGCTTTTGGCTATGTTTGAAAGGGATTCAGCGGGCAACCACGGGCGTGATTCGAGCGCGCTGAGAGGGGCTGCAAGCGCGCCCGGTTCAGACGAGATCCGGGCATGATGCAGCAGATTTACCACGTACTGCGCTGCTGCATGGCATGATGTTGTGATCGAAAATTGACAAATGCTGTTGTTACAATGAAGGTTTCTGCAATCTAGAAACGTGTTGAGACCTTTGCACGTACGCCAACATTGCCATTCCTCAACGCAGAACACTTGAAGCTTAGTGCAACCGCCCCGCAAAACAGCGAGTTTCGTGAACCGATTCATTTTTCAGCGTGGTTGGAATTGCAGGGGCCAATAGTACTGGAGAAAAAAGATACCAGTACTACATGTAATAAAACTATGAAAACAAGATTAGCAGCCATCCAACAAGCACACACGTCATAAATGAAAAGCGCAAGTATGTGTGTGTATATATAGATATACACAGATGCCACAGGCCCACATACACATACATACTAATATGCATGCATACATACAACCAAGCAAGCATACATACATGCCAACATACATACCCACATACATACATACATACATACATACATACATACATACATACATACATATACATACATACCAGCGTTACATGCATGCATACATACATACATGCATACATACATACATACAAGCGTACATACATACATACATA